CCATGACGCCAAAATTTGAGATTGAGAAGTTCAATGGGAGTAATTTCTCCCTGTGGAAATTGAAGATAAAGGCAATCTTGAAGAAGGATAATTGCTTAGCAGCAATTGAAGATATAACTGAGGGAATATCTGATGAGAAGTGGAATGAGATGGATAACAACGTTGTTGCCAACTTGCACATAGCATTGGCGGATTCAGTTTTGTCTAGCATTGTCGAAAAGAAAACTGCAAAGGAGATTTGGGATGTTCTCATCAAATTGTACGAGGTCAAGTCACTTCACAACAGAATTTTCTTAAAGAGAAGACTCTACACACTTTGAATGAGTGAATCTACATCCGTGACAAATCACATCAACACTCTTAATACGATGTTTGCTCAACTTACATCGACAAATTTCACCATAGCAGAAAATGAATGTGCAGAACTTCTACTTCAGAGCTTACTAGATTCATATGATCCACTTGTCGTCAACTTAACAAATAATAATGTTACAGACCCTCTATACTTTGATGATGTTGTCAGAGTTATTCTTGAGGAAGAGTCCAGGCGTATAAATAAGGAAGACCGTCAAGAAAACTCAAAACAAGTAGAAGCTTTGACAATGACAAGAGGCAGATCAATGGAACGTGGCCCCAGTGGGAGCCAAAATCATGGTAGATCAAAATCTCGAAGTAAGATGAATGTGAGATGCTACAATTGTGGCAAGAAAGGGCACTTGAAAAGAGATTGTTGGTTTAAGAAGAATGGTGAGAAGTCTTCTGAGGCAAGTTCATCTCAAGGATGTATTGCCAATACCTCTGATGATGGAGAGATTCTATATAGTGGAGCAATAACTAATTCCAAAGGTAGTAAACAACTCACTGATGTTTGGAAAATTGATTCAGGAGTAACATGGCATATGACTCCTCGACGAGATTGGTTTTACACTTATCAACCTATCTCAGGAGGATCAGTGTTCATGGGAAATGATTACACCTTAGAAATTGCTAGTGTTGGTACTCTGAAAATAAAAATGTATGATGGTACAGTTTGCATAATTCAAGAGGTGCGACATGTGAAAGGGTTGAAGAAGAATTTATTGTCTATTGGACAATTAGATGATCTCGAGTGCAAGACCCATATTGAAGGTGGGATCTTGAAAGTGGTGAGAGGTGCTCTAGTAGCGGTGAAGGCAGAAAAATTATCTGCAAATTTGTACATTCTTATGGGAGAGGCGTTGCAAGAAGGTGATGTGTAAATTGCATCAACTAGTCAAGAAAACTTAACAACAATGTGGCATCGCAGACTGGGCCACATGTCAGAACGAGGCTTGAAAGTTCTTGTGGAACGTGATCTCTTACCCGGGCTCAAATCAGTAAGTCTACCTTTCTGTGAGCATTGTGTAATAAGCAAACAAAATAGTTTGAAGTTTGATAGATTAACTACTAAGAGCAAACACATACTTGACTTGATTCATTCTGATGTGTGGGAGTCACCGCAAATGTCCATAGGAGGAGCAAAATATTTTGTATCATTCATTGATGATTACTCCAGGAGATTGCGGGTATACTCAATCAAGAAGAAGTCAGATGTGTTTTCAATATTCAAGCAATTAAAAGCACTAATTGAGCTTGAAATTGGAAAGACGATTAAGTGCTTGAGGACAGACAATGGAGGAGAATATACAGATGGTGATTTTTTGGCATTTTGCAAGGAAGAAGGTATAATGAGACAATTTACAGTTGCTCATACGCCTCAGCAGAATGGTGTAGCAGAGCGGATGAATAGAACTCTCCTAGAAAGGACTAGAGCTATGTTGCGAACTGCGGGATAACTAAGTCATTCTGGGAAGAAGTCGTGAAAACTGCATGTTATGTGATAAATAGACCGCCATCAAGTACAATTGGTTTAAAGACTCCGATGGAGATGTGGAAAGGAAAGCCAGCTGAGTATTCTACTCTACATGTGGTTGGATGTCCTGTGTACGTGATGTACAATTCTCAAGAAAGAACTAAGCTGGATCCAAAATCCAGGAAATGCATATTCTTGGGCTATGGTGACGGTGTCAAGGGGTATCGCCTGTGGGATCCCAGTTCTCGCAAGGTTATTGTCAGCATGGATGTAATCTTTGCAGAGAATGAACTGCAAAGGGAACGGGAAAATGATAGTACTTCTAAAGATATCACTACTTTTCATATAGATGGAAAGTTTGTAGAAGATGATTCTTTTGAAGAAGAACCAGAGCACGAGGTACAAGAACTAAAGGAACCCGATGGTGTTGAAGTTCGACGACCAGCACGTCAGAAAAGGAAACTAAATTGGCAGTCAGACTATGTTATGGCAAGCCATGATGCATATTGTCTTCTAACAGAAGATGGAGAACCATCAACCTTTCAAGAGGCTGTGAGTTGCTCAAGTGATTCTCTGTGGATGGCAGCAATGCAGGAAGAAATGGAAGCCTTACATAGAAACAAGACATGGGATCTTGTTGTACTTCCAGAGGGTCGGAAAGCCATCGGCAACAAATGGATCTATAAGATTAAGTGTGATGGTAATGATCAAGTGGAAAGATATCGTGCAAGACTTGTGGTTAAAGGATATGCTTAAAAGGAAGGAATTGATTTCAATGAAATATTTTCTCCGGTGGTTAGACTTACCACTATCAGAGTAGTGTTAGCTATGTGTGTTGCTTATGATTTACATCTTGAACAATTGGATGTAAAGACTTCTTTTCTTCATGGAGAACTTGAAGAAGAAATATATATGCTACAACCAGAAGGTTTTGAAGAAAAAGGAAAAGAAAACTTGGTTTGCAGGTTGACCAAACTTCTGTACGGTTTAAAGCAAGCGCCGAGGTGTTGGTACAAGAGATTTGATTCTTTCATTATTAGCCTTGGATACAACAGGTTGAGCTCAGATCATTGTACATATTACAAGAGGTTTAAGGAAAATGCTTTCATCATTTTGTTGTTGTATGTGGATGACATGTTGGTGGTAGGCCCCAACAAAGATCAAATCCAAAAATTGAAGGCACAATTGACTAGGGAGTTCGATATGAAGGACTTGGGGCCAGCAAGCAAGATTTTAGGGATGAAAATTTACCAAGATAGAAAAGATAAGAAGATTTGGCTTTCTCGAAGAAATTATCTATGAAAAGTTTTGCGGCGCTTCAACATGCAAGACTGTAAGCCAATATCTACCCCACTTCCTATCAATTATAAATTATCCTCAAGTATGAATCCTAGCAATGAAGTGGAGAGGACGAAAATGTCTCGAGTACCCTACGCATCAGCGGTGGGAAGCCTTATGTATACCATGATATGTACAAGGCCAGACATTGCACAAGCAGTGGGAGCGGACAGTCGATTTATGGTATATCCTGATAAAGAGCATTTGAATATTGTGAAGAGGATCCTGAGATACATTAAAGTAACCTCGGATGTTGCATTATGTTTTGGAGGATTGAAGTTTGGTGTCAGAGGATATGTTGATTCAGATTATGCAGGTGATCTTGACAAAAGAAAATCTACTACAGACTATGTGTTTACAATTACAGGAGGAGTGGTAAGCTGGTTATCCAAATTGAAGACTATTGTAGCTCTATCTACTACAGAAGCTGAGTATATGGCAGCTACCCAAGCATGCAAGGAAGCTATATGGATTCAAAGGTTATTGGAAGAGCTCGAATACAAACAACAAAAAATTATTGTGTATTGTGACAATCAAAGTGCCTTGCACATTGCAAGAAATCCAGCTTTTCATTCCAAGACAAAGCACATAGGAGTTCAATACCATTTCGTTCGTGAAGTAGTAGAGGAAGGGAGTGTGGACTTGCAGAAGATTCACACAAAACACAACCTAGTAGATGTTATGACAAAGCCGATCAACGCTGACAAGTTTTATTGGTGCAATTCTTCTTATGGCCTATCTAAAACGTAGCAACATGGAATTAACAAGGGATATAAATTTTGGAAACAAACAAAATAACTTTAAGTGGGAGATTGTGAGAACATAAAATCATTTATTTTGTAGAAAATGTCAATGCATTAGAAATCACTGATTTCTATGATAAAGAGAAGATTAAGCATAATTTACTAAATATATATCAACTTATTTTAGTACATGGGTCTCTTATATATAGAGAGAACTCATATTGTTGTTTATGGATCATCCTATAATCATTCAATTGTATTTCTTCTCATTTTTATACTATTCTTTTATATTTTAGCTGTGTTATAATTATTTCATGTTATTCTGATAATGAACGTATGCTTCAAATATAATTCACCAAATCTTCGTCACTTTCTCAACTCTGCTGCACCTTTAGTTGTTGCTTTTTTCACAAACCATTCTTCGGTGAGTGTGTTACTTTCCTCAAACGCGGTACCAAATCATTCTGCTGCATTTATGGAGTCTAAACTGTGGTCCACAACGTGCTCTTTTTGACATTTTTCTCCCTCATTTAGTTTCAAAAAGGACCTATGTTTTCATCTCTCTCATTCTGTTTTCATCTAAGTTGAAAAACAAGAAACTTGTTGAAAAAGTGTCCAAGGTTTGCAACTGTTTCTTCATTTTCCTTGTATGCCATGTTTGTTTGTTACATTCTATGTTCTTAAGTAAGCAAATGGGTCACTTGTTATTTGGTTTTTGAGAGCTATTACAATCACAAGAAGGAAAAGTTTCAACCTTTACTTACTCAACTATACACTCTTTTAAGTTGTTTGAGTTGAGGTGAGTGGCAGTGTTGTTGAGCTTAATTTGGAAACAAACATATACAAGAGAAATTGTACTATCTCTGTCCCCTTAAAAAGATTCCTCATTGCTTGTTTTTTATGCTTGTTGAGTTTTTGCTTTTGTTGATGTTATTAAGAAATGTGTGTGTGTTGTGTTGGCCAAGATTTACACAAAATCATAGGATTCTATTACTTTAGTGTCTCTTCTAACTTCAATTTTCATGCACTTTGTCAATTTTACAGCTAAAAGTAGGTGTATTATTGAACCTTCTTCCATTTTCCGATTCATGGGGAAGATTTCAACACAGCCTCTATCTCGAATGCCTTCCAATTATGATGAAGTTTTCATGCATCAAACCTTGCTCTTTGATGATAGTCTAAAGGTAACTTTGATCCAATAGTTCCTCCTTTATGTTTAGAATAGAGTTTTCAAGTGTGATTTTTTAACTTCTATTCTCTTTTTTTTTTCATCTATACTTATAGGATTTGAAAAATCTGAGAACACAATTGTACTCAGCTGCTGAATATTTTGAACTCTCGTACACCAATGATGACCAAAAACAAATGTGAGTTAAAAGTGTTTGAGTATGAACAAACAATTGTATCCTTTATACTCTTGTTAATTCTTAATCATCTGTTACTGTTTTTTATTTGCAGATTGGTTGAAACGTTGAAGGATTATGCCATCAAAGCTCTTATAAATACTGTGGACCATTTAGGATCTGTAGCCTACAAGGTGAATGATTTGTTAGATGAGAAGGTCAATGAAGTTTTCGGGGAAGAGCTACGTTTATCATGTGTTGAACAGGTATGCTTCCACCTGATTACATAAACAACTTAATTAAACGCTTATATTATAAGCACTTATCATATAAGTGTTTATATAGAAGTTATTTCACAAGTGCAGAGTTTCATAACATAGTATTTCTATAATGTGGTACATTAGAGAATAAGGACATGCCATGCTTTTATGGATTATGAGGGGCATACACAACAGTCTCTGGTGATTAGTACTCCAAAACATCACAAGCGTTACATTTTGCCAGGTTAGTTTAGAAGACATTATTTCACAATGTAGTTCATTTATGCTACTCATTAGTAAGCATTTTTCCTGTGATTTTCAATTATAACATTTCTCATATTCACAAATTCAACAGTTGGGGAGACCTTGCTTGGTACCAACTCAACAAAATCAAAATACATAGGATGCCACCTAGATGATGAAGATGATTGGCAGCATTTCAGGAATGGTATGTTATCTCATTGTATGCAACTTATTCCATTCCATTTTTCTATGATACAACCATAGACATAAGTTTATAGATTTTCTTACCTGATTTGTAATTCACAGCTGTTCGCGCTACTATAAAAGAAACACCAACGCCTACCTCGAGGTTCATACAAACTCAGCATACTGTTAAATGTGTCAATTCTCTGTTAAACTGCACAACTATTTTGATAAAATTCTTTTAAATTCATGTTGCTACAGTAAAGGGAATTCTCCATCACCTTGTTTACAATCTCAGAGAGTTGGAGCTTTTTCTTTCACTTCAACTAACATGACCAAAAAAGATTTAGGTACTATACGCATATTCAATAATATAACATTTCTGTGTAATTGTCACACTAAGACTAGAGATTTGATTCTCTATTGAAATTTGAATTGAAATCTTAACATGTATGTGCTATAGAGAAGAGGACAGTTTCACCGCACAGGTTTCCACTTTCGCGAACCGGATCAATGTCAAGTAGATCTACAACACCGAAGACTAGTAGATCAACTACTCCAAACTCAAGAAACAGAAACGCAACAAGTCCTTCAAATGCAAGAATAAGGGTAAGCAAAAAGCTAATTGAAATAGTGATTGATATATTGCAATAAGATTACATGAATCATGATTGATTGTATTCTCATGTCATTCAAACATAAATGTTGTGGTTTCTATGATGGACTCTATTATGCTTTCATTTGCAGTATCCTTCAGAGCCGCGCAAATCAGCTTCAATGCGGTTATCTTCTGATACAAACAACCTAAAAGATATGGAACAACACCCGAGTAAAAGTAAGCGCCTTCTTAAGGCTTTGCTTAGCAGACGCAAATCTAAGAAGGATGATACATTATACACTTACTTGGATGAATATTGATGGTAGTTGAATCTGTGTCTGGTGTCTGACATAGACACATGCGGTTTATGTCAATCACTATTGTTTTTTTTTAAATTATCATCAGTATCGAGTTATAAGTGTTAATGTTGTGTCTGATGTCTATGTCAGTGCTTTATAGGGTTTGCTTGTTTGTTTGAGTAGGTTGCCCCTCTTCGATTCTTCCTTCTTTTCTCTTCTTTTAATGTTCATTTCTTTATGATTTGAAATGAACATATATGTGGTAATTTTGTTTTCGCTACCAATATTTATTGTGTCTGATGTATTAAGGCAATTGTTCATCAGCTTTATTTTTATTTAGCTATAGTTGTTTCAGATCCAAAATCTACTTCCAAATCACTGCAATTTATCATAACAATTGTCATGAAAATGTAAAGATAACTATGAATTTGATTGGAGAATTGTTGAAGAGTAGAGAGAGTAACCTGGTGAAATCCCATTGAGATTGGGATTGAGTGTGTAGTGTGGCAGCCATGTGTGAGAGTCTTCAACAACTTCAAGTGGCGAAGGTGGGAAGAAGAAAACGAAAACAAAATGCATGAAATCAAATTTAGGTTGAAACCGAATTTTGCTGGATATCGGATCCAGTTCAGTTCTAATGGATTGAGCTGGCTGACCCGTTTCGTGTTACGTTAGTCCACGCATGGCAGCAGAGACAGTTTTTAGCTTCCACAAATCCATCTTTCCTGTCCCAATCTTCAATGGAGTAAAATTTAACAGCGTACCCCCTACTTTTATATTTGTACTCCTATATTTTTGTAAAAATGTCAAGTTTATCCTTAATAGATTTTAACTTTTTTATTATTCATCAAAAATTTACTAAAAAATTTAGAAATTGCACTTCAACGGCTCTGTTTTGGAAGACTTCAAGAAAGACTTCTGATGCGTATACATCTAAATCGGAACAGTTGAATCAAGTGTTTTGATATTATAAAAAACGTTTTGAAAGAGTTTGTCCAAGTCTTCCGATTTGAACGGAACATTTTAATTAATCGGAACACTTTTGAAAAGTCTTCCGGTGCGAAGAATTATAAACCGAGACACTTATGAAAAGTCTTCCGTTGCGAACAGGTCTAAACCGTAACATTTTTCCAAAGTGTTCTGGTGGATCCTAAAATCTAAACCGGAACACTTTCTGTAAGTCTTCCGGTACGCATTGTTAAAAAAAAAATTTACTTTTAAATTTTTTTTATACTTTTCAGGTATGGAAATTCTGCACCAAATTTTCTTTAAAAGCGAGTCATGTGTAGATACCACTGATGTATTCTCCACTACTCAAACATTCGATACACGAGAACAGGTTATAAGCTGGATTAAAGAGGTTGGAATCAAAATCATGGTAACTGTTATTATCAAGCGTTCGGACACCGAAACGAGCAAAAGAGGAAGAAGGAACAAAATAATATTTGGGTGTGATAAAGGGGGTAAATACAAAGATAAAAGTGAAACTCAAAGGCGACTAAGAGATGTGGATGTCCATTCAAAATCAGGTCGACTCCGTCAAAAGATGGGTATGGATGTAAGGTTGATGTAAAATATGGAGTTCATAATCATGGATTACCTGATAAGCTTGAAGGCCATGTGTTTGTTGGTAGGTTGTCCGTAAATGATAAGAAACATGTTTTTGATTTGACAAAGATACATGTTCCACCTAGGCACATATTGCTTTCTTTGCAAGAGCTAGATCCTGAGAACATGACTTAGATCACGCAAATATATAAGCAGAAGAGTGTGATAGAAAAAGAGATAAGAGGGCCAAGAACTGAGGTACAACATCTGCTTAAGCTCATAGAGGATGCGGGGTATGTATATTGGAGTAGAAAAAGAGATGACTCAGAAGTTGTGAGAGATATTTTTTGGGAGCATCCAGTTCGGTTAAGTTGCTGAATATGTTTCCTATCGTGTTAGTTATGGACAACACTTATAAAATAAATAAATATAGGCAATTTATGCTTGAAATTATTGGCATGATATCGACCGAGTTGACATTTGTTGTTGCATTTTATTATATGGAGTCTGAGCAGACAGATAGTTTTTGTTGGATCTTGGAGAAGCTGGAGGAATTGTTTGTGAACAAAGATTTGTGTCCACAAGTAATTTTGACGGATAGAGATCTTGCTTTGATGAAAGCAGTTGAAATTGCTTACCCCACAACAACTTCTTTATGTCCACCACCTGAAAAAATAAAAACCAAGGGAGGAGTTAAGAAGAAAGGGAAGAAACTGGTTGGATATGATGTTTACAGAGACCCTTCAAAACATGAGTATGCTGAACAAGCATCTCAATCTTTAGAGGCTATCTCAACCATCACAAAATCAATTTCAACCATCATAGAAGAAATCACAATCAAGGAAGCAGTCACAATCAAAGAAATAATACACTCTTCAGTTTCCAGTTCATATCAGGTCATATATTCAAGAGATTGTGGATGTTAAACTGGATGGTGATTGTGGATTTAGAGTAATTGCATCATTACAGGGGTATAGTGAGAATGGTTGGCCAATGGTCCATCGAGAGTTGGATATGGAAATAAGAGAGAATAAGAGTTTATTATGAGAAATTATTCGGAGATCGGTTATCAGAAGTGAGATTAGGATTGATGATAGAGTCCACTGATCGACAGCTAGAGGAGAAATGGCTTACACTTCCTGACATGGGTTATATGATAGAAAATCGCTATAATTTCATTCTTGTGCATTTAGAAAACCCGTGCTTGACCTTTTTTCCTATGACAAACTCACCTTTACTTACTCCAAATATTTGGTGCATTGGTTTAGTCAACCATTCACATTGGGTTCAGGTAATCAAGTTAATTTACTTTTCTTATTTAATATATACCATTACTTGATTTTACTTTGTTTTACTTTATTTATTTAATATGACATAACTTGATTTTACTTTATTTTTAATAATCAGGTAAACATGAAAGACGGGTTCCCGTTACCACCGATTTCGACAGATTGGAAGAAGTTTCGTGCACCAGATGCAATTTCTTGGATGTTAAGATTTGCGGGATGTCTACAACTTTGGCTACATCTTTCACCTGTATTACCTTCGTTTGTTAGTTTAGTATAAATTCTTTATGTTATATTTTGTGTAATGTTGACTCAAATTGTTATCACCAACATTTGTTTATTATAACATATATTGAGCATTACATCAACATCCATGTTCATATCTTCATCGCTCTGCAACTCTACAATATTGTAACATATCCTTCCATCAACATCCATGTTCCAGTTTTCACGGTATGAAATCTTCCTCACCCTTCTGTTATCACCTTCAGGTAGTAACTCGTAGTCAATCTTTTTCTTCAATGAATCGAGGTTCAAAAATCCGTTTGGGATCCGAAACTTCACAACATCTTGTATTCCATTGAAATACACTTATGCATCAACCAAAATATTAGCAAAAGACATTCTGAAAATCTGATGTTTTTCTAAACAACACAAGACCCCTATTTATACTACTTTTAATTTATTATAGATCACTCAAAATTGTCGGTTCAATCACAACCACTCAAATTTCCGGTTCAATCAAAACCACTCAAATTGTCGGTTCAATCAAAACCACTCAAATTGTCGGTCCAATCAAAACCACTCAAACTGTCGGTCCAATCAAAACCACTAAAACTGTCAGTCCAATCAAAACCACTCAAACTATCAATCCAATCAAAATTATTCAAACTGTCGGTCCAATCAATATAATTCAAATAAATTATAACGTTACTACATATGAATAACATAAACTATCCACATAATATAATATATATAACGCATAATGTTAATACACATAACATAAGTCATAAAAATATGTCATAAACATAATTCATAAAAACATGTCATAAACATAAGTCATGTTGAATGGAAAATACGTAACGCCTCAAATAAATCTGTAAACTCTGGATCATCTGCTTCAGCACCATGTTTTTGGAGGTGACGATGTAACAAAATAGAAACACGAGCCAAGTTAGGATTAGCTGGTCATGGATCATACACAAGAACTGGCACCTCCCTTGGTGCACTCTGAGGTGGCGGTACTAATCGAGGATGTGACACACGATAATACCAATCCAAATAATAGGGATCGGTCTCTGATGCAAAGGTGACCTATGATGTCAGACAGGCCACCTCAAGGACACTCTAATCATAGCCAATTCAATCAACATCGACATCAAGATCATGAACAACAAGAGGCAAGGGTGGAAAATACTGCCTATATCCAAACTGACGTATGCATCTATCAGGAAAGTAGAGAACAATAGTGCCTCCCCACTGTAGGCCCCCTCGGTACATGAGCTCTTCAAACGCACACCACTTTCTGTGATCCTCAAATAGGCACCATATGACATCAACTGGTGTCAACACATCCAAAATGGGCCGCAAGGCATCCACCTTCATGGATCCTTGCTTGTAGGACCATCTCATAGCTCTAGGAAGTCCAGGGTTTTCAGCTGGTGTCCAATTTTCTTCCTTTCTTCCAAGTGCGGGAAAATAATCATGAATCCAACATTGTTTCAATGTCAACAATTTTAATTAAAAAAATACTACATTAGCATAATAAATTATTTAATAAAGAAATTTAATAAATACCTGAAGAAGAGTGAGATATCTGTTGTACCCCAAAAATTTTCCTCTCATGTTTTCCAAGATCTTCTCTTACATGGGTGGTTACAAACACTTGCTTAAAGAAAATAATTTTTTTGAAGATGGTCAAGTGCCTTTCGATGGGCATCTGAACAAGGTACTTCGATTGGCATCTGAATAAGATGTCTTTCAATTGGCATCTGAACAAAGGCGTCTTTCGATTGGCATCTTAACAAGGTACCTCAATTGGCATCTGAGCAAGGTACTTAGATTAGTATCAGAACAAGGTGTCTTTCAGTTGGAATATCAATAAAATGATACTTCAAAGGCATGTCAACAAAGTGATGCTTCAATGGCATGTCAACAAGGAAAAGGCTTCCTTTGTGCTTGCCTTTG